GTTCCCGCCAATGCAACAAAACTAAAAGACAATATAATAAAAAGAAAAAGAAACAGGAACCTTCGGAGGATTCAAGCCCGGTTCCAGCAAATAATCCGACTTCTGCACAAAACCAACAGGAATTGTCAGCAAATTCTTTACCAAGGTAACGAAGCTGATCCGATTCCTGCACAAAGCCAACAGAAATCATCAGCAAATTCTTTATTATCAAACGAAATAAGTGGAAATCATCGTCATATATTTTATCAGATGACGATGAAGATTTAATAATAACAATAATAGTGGACAAGATTGTCTTCGTGTACAAGAATTATTTCGAAAGTCACCTGAGAAAGGAATACGATGGGAAATCGATGACATCGATATCGGAGTTGATTTACAGCCAAAGCTACCAACACTATATAATTATTCTCATTTTAAGTATCTTATGTTTCAAGAAATAAAACTATATAATGGGTAGCAAATCAGTAAAATTTTTGCAAATAGACAATATTTTAAATTAATGTTTAGAGAAAACTTGATATTTAATTAGATTTTTAGCTTTGTATTATTAATAGATTTAAGCAGTAGAAAAGAAACTTTTTTTAACTAACTTAGTAAATACAGTATGTTATGATAAATTATTAATAACATATTACAATAAATATGCAAGTCTAATTGTTGAAATCTGCATCTTCACGTGCCTTGAGCATTTGGATTAAAGCCGATCGAACGCGGATTGGAAATTTAATATACTGTATTTGACTCCACTGTTTTTTGTAACCTTTTTTTTTTTTTTTTAAATTTAACGATGTCTTCGAACTTTTGGAGAGACTTATCTAATGATTATGAAAAACTATTTGAAACAGAATTAGGATATGATGTGATTTTTTATGTTGGAGAAGAACCAAATGTTAAAGAAATTCATGGACATTCAAATATTTTATGTATTAGATCACAATATTTTCGTTCAGCATTTTCTAACGAATGGGCTAAGAAGGAAAATGGTAAATTTATTTTAAAAAAACCTAATATTTCGCCAGATTTATTTAATATTATTCTTAGGTAAATAAATATATATTATATATTATCTTATAAATTTAGATTTAATTTTTATAATTAATTCATTTTACAATTTAGGTTTATTTATTGTGGGAATATTGAATTAAAGAATTTACAAGGTCCAGAGATATTGAAATTGTTGATAGCAGTGGACGAACTTAATATCCAACCATTAAACTCTCATATTCAAGAATTCTTGATTGAACATCAAACGGAATTTTTACATCAAAATCCAGTTGGTATTCTTGAAACAATTTATCAACACGAGAAATTTACAGATTTATGGAATTTTTGCCTTGAAAAGATATGCAAAGAACCCGAAAATTTGTTTAATTCCGATAAATTTTCTAGTTTAAAGGCGCCCTTATTGGAATTATTGCTAAAACGAGATGATTTAAATATGAAAGAAATTGAATGGTGCCTTGTCCAACAGAATGTGAATAATGAACCAACAGAGTGGAGTAAAGAAGATATTACCAAAATGGAGAGGTCAATGCACCGATTTATTCCTTTAATTAGATTTTATGATATCGATTCCACAGATTACTTTTACAAAGTTTATTGTTGTAAAGATATATTACCACAAGATTTAGTTCATAATCTCCTGGAGTTTCATATGGTTCCTAATATCAAGCCTAAAGCTAATATAGCACCCTCAAGAAAGTCATATTTAAAACTTAACATTGATTCAAAATACATTCCTCTTTTTGCTTCATGGATTGATAAAAAAGATTCTTCATTCACACTATAATGAAAAAAAAATTCCTTATGAATTTAAGTTATTATATAGTTCAGGTCCGAACGCATTTAATGCTATAGAATTTCATAGAAGTTGTGATGGTAAAGGTGCTACCATTTGGATAGCCAAAATTCAAGATTCAGCACAACTAATTGGAGGGTATAATCCACTTGATTGGAATGGAAATGGTCCCAAATCTACAAATGATAGTTTTTTATTTAATTTTACGGATGGAAAAAATACTTCTACTGCAAAAGTAGGTTATGTTACTCGAGCAGGTGATGCCTTATATTGCTTTAATAACCAAGGGCCCAGTATGGGTGGTTTATATTGTAAGAATAGTAATAATTGGGCTTATAGTAAGGGATATTATACTGACGTAGGCATCCTAGATAGATATATTTTAATTTCAAATCAAAAATAAATAATACCATTGATTGTCAGCAAAATAAGGTTGATGGATCCCGAAATTGAGTATTAATCGGTAAAATTAGATCCGCCGAACTATAAATATAGTGAATTTTTTGCCGGAAAGAATATCTTTAGTATAAATAAATTTTTTTTTTTTTGTTTTCTCCTTGGCTCAGATGTCATCAATATTGTCGTGTCTGACACATATTCTTTTACATACCATAAAAAATCAAATTTTTTCCTAGAACTTTTACATTTCATAGGGACTCATAGGGACATAGGGACAAGTAATAAAGAAAGAATAAATCAAACAAGAAATCCCAAAATCAATACAAAGCTGTCCTTAAGAGTGTCCCTATAAAATTTTTCTTATAGGACAAGTTTGTTTTAAAAAGGTTATAAAAAAGTCGGTAATTATTTTTCATAGGTCAAAAATATGAGAAATTTCGTATAGGTATATCAAATTCCGGAAATCTTTACAAGGATACTTACCTTCTTAAAGTTGTTTTATAGTTGGAACCTTCCTACACGTAAGCTCGTCAAGATTAAGTAATAAAAATAAAAATAAAATTAAAGTTTCTTTTACAGCAGGCCATAGAACCGGTCAATATTTAGTTCTATCGATTTATTTATACGTCATCTGTTTCGTATATTCTAGTTTATTGTAGTTTAAAGTGTACAGAACAAGCAAAATTCATATTATGTAATCCTGTCTTTGAGTTTATTTAGTCAAAAAGATTGATTTGTGTCGCCTTAGTTTGTTTCTTGAATTAATAAATACGATATTTTTTTTGTATGATCATTTCCTCACTTAAAAGCATGTCCATCCATATATTTCGTTTTACTATTTTTTTTTTTAAATTCATTAAATTTACTAAATTTCGCATGTAAAAAAAAATAAATTCACCTATAATCGGATTGGATCGTTTAACATGTATTGTATAGATTCTCAGAGTGCGAAAATTCTTCGTTAGGATTAAATCACTCAACCGAGTTGCCACTGGTCGTAGCAGAACTTCTGAAATGGCACAACTCAATAGAGCCGAGAATTGAGTAGGAAATTGCAGGATGTACACATGCGTTGATAAAGAAAAAAGTTGCTGTTTTACGATCACACATTTGATAAAACACTAAGTTAATAATTTAGTCAACGCATTTGTTAGTCTCTTCAGTATGAAATTCAATCTTTGCAAAAAAAAAAGAGCGTGTATAAATTTTCCAGACAATCCGGGTGCCATAATAACAAAATTACTAACGCAGAAAAGTGGAGTTTCTCCAATGATGTTACATACTTGATCGACACTAATATGACGATGCAAGCGGTGAATGTTTCAAAATTTCACGCTTCTTTTCCTGTTCGAAATTTATTTCTGAATTATTAACGAACTAGATCGAAGTATCGCTCATTTCCTTAATGTATAAGTCGTAACCCGTTATTTACATATTAAACATATGAATATATTATATTCTGCCCGTGTCGGGTCACAGTCAATAACCTTGGCCCTCGGAGCACTATGTAGTTTATATTACAAACATCGTTCTGTCTATCCATATTCAAGATCTAAATGCAAACAGACGATGAAATACTCATGGTAAAGTAACGTAACGTTTAAGATGCCTCAATAAAAAAATCTAATATTGAAGCCATTTCAATTAAATAAATTTCATTAATTTCTTTTTATATTTTTCAAAAGAATATAAATTGGATTTCCTAGGTACTGTAATAAATTAAATTTCAATATTGTGAAAATTTTTTAAATTAGAACATTGAATTTCATATATTTTTATCATAAATACTAATTAAAAAAAGAAAAGAGTGTTATTAATTATATAAAATTAATATTGATAATTATTTTCCTAATTGTTCAATTAATTTATTTATTTAAGAGTTATTACTTCTTATAATATAATCATAAATTTATTGAATCTCTTTTAAAAAAAAAAAGAATTATATTTCTCATCAGAAATAAAATTAACGTTTTCCATACCATATTTATTTATTAAAGTCACGTGTACTCATATTATATTTATTGAAGAATTTGACACATAATCACATAAATTTAAAGATCGATTAGCATTTTTATGTAACATCCAAAGATCGATTTCCACGCAAACATGAAAGATTCGAGAAGTGAAGTTCTAGCATATTTCTTTCAAAACTTATTACTGAGCAAGAAAAATCAACTGAAGAAAAACAATTAAATCAGGAAATAATAGAAATCCAAAAAGAAAGCAAAGAAACCGAACATCAATCAAAAGGAAATACTATGATGACGATTAAAGGTGAGAATATTACGATCTAAACTATTGACATTCAGCATTAAGAATTTTTTAACTAAGTTAGGGAAAATGCGTTTTTATTGTTCTTATTTTTCTTTTCTTTCTCGTCTTTCTTTTTCAATGAGATAGGCATTACGTTGCTGATGTTCCGGGAGTGCAAAAAAGTTACCTTCGGGTTTTCTATCCGTCCGTTAATGCCCACCAGTGTAACATCTCGCAGTTGCCCCAAAGATGCCTGCATTTCTTAGACTCTGTTGATTTATTATCATCTCTCGTGCCTTCATCATTGGTACTTTCTCGCATTAAATCGATGTCCCAAATGACTTTACTTTTTTTTTTCGCTAACTTTAATTTGTTGGGTGACAAAAGGTATCCTTCTCCAACATCGGCCAAGGTTACCAACATTATGGCAATGTGTTTTTCTTGCTTCGATGATTCATCTCGAAAACTCTCACTACCAGAACTGGACGACAAATAGGCGAGCTTATCATAATATTGCGAGTACGAATGGAATTACTTTAAAGTTAATTAAATTAACTTTTATCTAAAATTGCTGATTTTAATAGAATCTTAATTAAAAATTAAATTTATTTTTTAATATTATATGTATTTTTTTTGAAGAAATTACATGGATAATAACTTAGCAATTAAAGTCTGTCATTAGTTTCATCCATATATGTCACAAAAGACCCTATTTTATCATAAGTATTATAGAAGGTCTTAAATCTCTTTCAACAATAAATGTTTTCTTTAGATCAATTAAATCAATGATATATATATATATTTCTTATAGCTTCCTCCATAAAATCACCAATCTTAACGATGATCTTTCTTCGCTCGAGGAATTTTGTACAATTATAAATCTCATTTCACAATAAGAAATTTTGCGGTACTATGATCATACTTAATAAGAGGCCTTCAAAAAGAATTTTTTAATTTATAATGTATTGTAATTGCCAATAGTAAAGCAGTATGACTTGATGGAGGTTGCTTGAATTCGTTGTTCTAATCTTGTAGCTGAAAAGTCTTGCTGTACCATTTATCATTATTATTTTTGTCTAAGGCAGTTGTTAAGATGAAATCCCTTGGCATAATGTATTCCTTTTTTGTCAATTGTTTGATACGTTAAAGTTTCTATATTATTTTGATTTTTAAAAAAAAAAATGAGTTATGAAATTTTTGGCTAAACTTTTTTTCGTGAGCATCAACTATATAATTCTGGCCGTCCGTAATGATAATAAAAGTGTTTGTACCACATACACATATGACGTGTGTATAAAAAGCACCTGTTTGATCTGACAAACTAAAAACTTGACTATCCTTTCTTCACGAATAAAAAAAAAAAAAATAAAAAATGAAGCTTGGAGGTTTTTTTTTAGAATTATCGGTGGATAATAAGACACTTAAAGAGTGTAGTGAGCCTGCTGATAAAAGAACTGTCAGTATCATGGTTTAAAGTCTTTCAAATTTTAAAAAAGTAAAAATTTATGTGATTTTAACGAATTTTTCTGTATTATTATATTAGACCACAACAGGTGTTTCATACGTACTCGACAAAAATACCAACGAAAGGATTGTAAGGTTGATATTATTTCTTTATTTCTTTATTTATTTTCGCGTATATTTTATCGAAGTAAAAGCAATACTTTTTTTTTTTTTAAAAAAAAAATTACTAATTATAAAATTATCGTAAAATCTAGTGATCAAACATTTTACTCAGTGGTTAATCAAGTCGATAAAATTTATGAAGTACATTTTGGAGCTAGCAAAGAACTACTTTCTACACCAGGACAACCGCGACCTGGCGTTTCCTATAAAGCAAAGATTTACATTGATGGTCGATGGGATGGTTCCTGGAGATTAATCAATAAATCTACCAAATTGAAAAAAGTTGGGTTTAATATTTCAAAAAAAAAGAAATCTCCTTTAACCTTTGACCTTTCCAAATGGGAAGAGGATGGGGACCAAAGGATTGAAAAAGAGAATGATGTTCAGGATGATGTTAATGCCATGCAAGTTGATATAGATCATCCTATGAACGATAATAACGACGCTTCAAATAATGAGAAGAATCCGGAAGGTCAATATGGTGCCATATCTATCTATATTTTCAATACCAATGATATTGAAAAAAATGAATCTGCGAATGGGCCCCCATTGCCATTGGCTGCGTTGCACATTCATTATCGACCAAAACAATGGCTTCTTGCAAGAAATATACTTTTTGAGGAGATGTTAAGTGAAATCACCGACAATACGCAAGAATCAAGCCATGTTCACGAAACACCTCAAGAGAATATTCAGGAAACCCAAAAGGTCAAGACCGAACCGAAGAAAAAAGTAAATTTTACCAGAAATGGTATAAACAGAAAAGAACGGGAGAGGGGTACTCAAGCTGCTACAATTGTAGTGGAAGAACCTGCTGGTGATACTGACATGATAGAAATTGTTGAAGATGAAGCCATTGAAGAGGTACAAGTAGCAAAAAAAAGATCTAGTGGTAGGAAAGCGAAGAAAAGTGTTGAGAAGACAAAGGAAACGCTGGAGACAAGTACAAGGCGGTATAATTTGAGAGCGAGGAAATGAGAGGGATTTCTGATCCGTGGCTTTTAAAGTTGTCAAATATTTCATCAAAATTACATAATATCATTTATAAAATAGGATAGCTTTGTATGTAGCTTAGTATACTTTATATCTTTTTTATCTGTACAATTGCATGACAAAATATTGCGGTTTTCTTAATTTTTTTTTTCTGACAAATTTTTCAATTTGGAATTCGATCTATAATATATATTGAATAAATCATAATATAGCTTACCAAAATATAAATTCCAATTTTTTTATTTTGTGATATTTTTTTTATTTGAAAATTTCTAACACGAAATACGGGTCATGTGGTATACAGTCGTCCCCCTTTATAGTCACACCCCTTGGACCAAAAATAAAGTGTGATTATAATAAAAAGTTACTATACAGGGGGATTTTTATGTGTTGGTTCTGAAAAGTGTGACTATAAAAACACCGTGATTATAAAGAGGTTTTTTTTATATAGCATTAATAGGTATTGGTTCTTACGAAATGTGTGCTTATAATAAGGGATTTATATGATGTGATTGTACAGGGGTGACTATAGAGAGGGACGACTGTATATATAAACTTGACAAGGAGATAGACGAGATGTTAGGCTAGTCATACATATTAGGTGGCTATTATCACACAGTCAAATTAGGGATGGGACCAAATCGAAATAAAGATAATTTTAATCGACCAATCAAAACAAAGACAATTTTTTTGTCATATCACATATAGTCACCCCTATATAATCACTCCTCCTCTTTAGTCACATCATTTGGTCCAATTTTTCAAATACGAAAATACCTCTTCTGTAGTCACATTCACTTTATAGTCACTATCACTTAAAATCGTTGGCCTAATTAAATAATAATTATATTAATTACCCTCTATATAATCATTGACTAATCATTTGTAAATTTTTAAGATGCTGACCATAATGAATAAATTTATAATTCTGATGCAGTTACATCTAATGAATAAATTTTGATACCTGTCAAAAAAAAAATAAAGTATTATCAATAGAACAGAACACTGCTTTGTTAAAGAAAAATTCTCTTATTTTAAATATTCTTTCAAAAAAAAAAATTTGTTCTTTTAACATTTTTCCTTCTCATAACTTTTCCTAAAAAATAATATTAAAATTTTAAACCCATGTGAATTTTAAAACACTATTTTATTATAAAAATACTTTCTAAATTCAAATTTTAATTTATATAAATTAAACTTATAAAATGTGAATTTTATTCATATAAAGTAATATAAATTATAAAAATCATTTTCCTCCTTTTTAATATTTTTTGAATTTTCCTTTCAAATTTCTTAAAAGAGTTTGAAAGTTTTTTTTTTTTAACAATAAAAATTTTCAAATTTATTTTAAAATTTTATATTATTTATTATAATGTTATCATAAAAAAAAAATCTTATATATCTGTTAATATTAAAGTAAAAAAAAAAATTTATAAATATATGTTAATAAATAAAAATATTAAACAGGTTAATGTTGCTTTATACTTTAATACAAAATATTCTGATTATAAGCTTAATAGATTAATAATTATTAAAATATAATAAAATTAGGATTATATACCTTTTCTTAACATCCTTTTTTATTTTTAACATTTGATAAAATAATGCATTTATTTTTTAAAATTAATTTTTTTAGTTATAATTTTCTTTTAATTTTTTTTTTTTACTTTTCAATTATTATTTTGAATTTTTTTTATTAATTAAAATAAGTTTATTTAAAAATAAAATTCAGATAATTATTGATTAAGATTAACTAAAATTAGAATTTTAATTTTAAATATCTTTTTATTATCTAAATTTAATTATAATTGTATTAAATTACATTTTTTTATAATTATTTTAATTTTAATTAAATTTTAATTTAAATATAACATTGTAAATATCTAAAATAAATATTAAATAGACTTTGAATTTTAAAATAAAACTATTTAAAATTAAATATTTAAAATTGAATTATAGATATAAAATCATTTTAAAATTAAAATTTTTAAATTAAACTTCAATTGAAATTTGACTTCAGATTACATTTGAATTTTAAATATAATATTATTTAAAATTAAAATATTTAAAATTAAATTTTAGATAAAAGTTGAATTTCAAATACAAGCTATTTGAAATTTGATATTTAAATTAAATTTCTAATAGAATTTAATTTTCAGATATAAAATCATATAATCATAATATTTAACTTAAATTTTAAATAAAATTTGAAAATTTAGATATAAGTAAATAATAGTAATAATATATATATATATTATAATAAAAAAAATAAATAATAATATATATACACAGTGAAATTTAATAAACTGGATCTTTGATAAATCAGATTTGAGCTTAAACTAGACTTTTTTGTTAAACTAAATTACGTATATTAAAATAGTTTTGATATATTAAAGTTTACTAGTAAAAGTTTGATATTTACTATAACGATTTAATTTTTCAATTAGCTATAATAAAAATGATTTGATAAACTGGAACACGTAATCAAGAACTAATAAAATTGAAGTAATATGATTTAATAAATCTTAATTTTTCCCAGAACTATAAAAATCTTAATTCTAGCTGAAGTTATTGACATAATTATATTCAATTAAAAATATTTATATTAATTTTCATGATCTTTATCATATAATAATTAAGATGGAAAGTTAAAATATAATGTAGTTTGTCATCTTTAATGTGAAATATTTTTAAAATTTCAGTATAATAGATTTTAGTATATCAAAATTTTTTCGCTATATCAGATATCCTAATAAACTAGATATTTTTAATAGAACTGATAGATTCAGTTTATCGAATTTTACTGTGTATATTATATTTTTAATAAATTATATTTTTTTTAATAATTTAATTTATTTATTATTTATAAAGATTATACTTTTTACAAAATATTATATTATAATCAAAAATAATTATATTGATATTTGATAACATTGATTTTATTATATCAAAAATCAATGAAATTAATATTTTTAATTTCTTTAACTTATTTAATATTTATTTTATTTGTATTTATTATATATTATTTATTATTATTTTTATAATTTATTATATTTTATCATAATTAACTTATAAATCATATGGGAAGTTTACTAGAAAAATAAGACTCTGAGAATTTTTTTGACTAAAATTAAGACCTTATTACATTTTAATCTAATAATATCAAAAACTAAAATACAATAAAAAACAAAATTTTGTTAAAAAATTTTTAGAGCCCTATTTTCTTAGTAAACCTTTTATATTTTATTATCTTAATATTTAAATTAGTTTATATAAAATAGTATTAGATAATAATATTCTTATAAATATATTATAAAATTATTTTTAGAGAACTCAAGAATTCAAGTTTAATACTTAGAATCTAAAGTTCAAGAATTTCTAAATAATAAAAAAATAATAAAAAAAATAATAAATTACTCAGTTTGTTATATACTAATAATAAAAAATTATAATTATTTATATTAAAGAATTTCTTTTTAAAATACAAATATTATTTTCCTTTTGCATATTTTTTTATATTTATATTTATTAACTATATATAGTGACCTACAAAAGAAATGCAAGTCCTAATTATTTAACTTTAAAAGCTTATAACTCATTAACTACAAATGCTAGAGTTATAATTTTACATTTATTTTAATCCTTAGAACCTAGCAAATCTTTTCGAAAAAATTTTCATTAAATCAATAATATCAATTTTATATAAATAGCTAATATATACTTAAAATTTATACTTAATAAAATTATTATATCAGAAAAAAAATTTAGATAAAGTGAATCAGGTGATATCCGTCATATATATGATAGATTTAATTAAAAAGAATTTATGTTCTAAGTTTGAAAGGAATCGGATCAGTGGTGTTAGAAAAAATTAACTTTAAACATTGGCAATTTACATATAAAAAAATAAAAATTAATTTTTTTATATGTAAATT